ACGTGAGTATATTGGTGGTTTCATCGGTTTCGTCATTATCAAATCGTGTACAATCCGGCTATGAAGAATTTTTCACTGGCGTAGTAGTATCTTCGGATCCGAGCGTTTCATCGTTTTCCGTTGTTACGTGAGTATGAACAATTTTTGTTCGTTTATTTTTTCGTTGTCATGTGCAAGGGTTGTTGTGTTATGGTGGTTAGCCATTATAAGGTTTTTGTTGATATGTTGATTCAATTGGTATTAAAGTAGATCGTTTTTAAACAAAAATTACGTCGTCACTTATACATCGTTATTTTTGTCTGATGATGTTTGTTTTGGAGGAGGATTCACATAGTTGCCAGAGGAGGGTTCACGCAGTCGGACCAGAGTTGTTTTATATGAGGGTCTTAGTTGGTTTACGCAGCAATCGAAATAAATGTTTGGTACGAGTTCATGAAGTTGACCCCGATTGATAGTTGTTTTGTTTGTTTACAGCAGTCGATTTTAGTGTATTCGGTAGTACATTGAGATATATTTCGTAGTCTATTTTAATTGATTATCTGTATTATGCATTCTTTAAGTTCATTTGATGATGTTAATTCCTTGTCATTGAAATATATTTGGCAGTCTATTTAATCAATTTTTCGTATTCTCCATTTTTCGTACTCTGTTTAATTAATTGATTATCTGGATTATGCATTTTAATTACTTGTCATTGAAATGAATTTGTCTGCAACACTTTCGACACACCAAAAAACAAACATGTGATGAATAGCATATTAGTGTAATCGATGAGATAATCTCATCACAATTATGATTTTACATTAGTATACATAAAAATTTTATATAACAGACAACTGTATTTTTAAACCACATATAGTATATTAATGATTTCAATATAGTACATTAATCTGCTATGATAGTATATTACGGTTATAGTAGTAGTATGAAATTGTGTTACAAACAATATACCACTGAAATGACAAGAACATTGAGAACAAAACCAACGTAAAGTAATTCCAACATAACCAATAAAATACTTAAAACACATCATAACACAATCAAACCAATATGTCGAGTTAAAAAAACTCTAGTACATTAATAATCTCATAATAGTATAATAAAATGATAATGGTAGTATTATACGGTATTCGTAATAGTATTATACGGAATCAATTGAATTCATTGAGTTTATTATGTCCTCGTCGCTATCATCAGGAATGCAATCGACTTCTTCGTCGGACAACTACACAACGCCTGCATTCAATGTCTCACTTCCAGTGGCATCAACAACTCCAACTAGTTTACCCCAACCCCCTGTTACAGCATCATCAGAAACAACAAGTTCATTATTATTACGAACTTGGGGCGACCCGTTGTTCTCGACATAGAAACAAAACCAACACATGTTGAATCCTATTCATTCTAATAAATCATCATGTGCCTCGAACTACGATAATTGATTAAATAGACTACCAAATACATTTCAATGTACTACATAATACATTAAAATCGACTGCGGTAAACAAACAAAACAACTATCAATCAGTTTCAACTTCATCAATTCGACCACACCAAATATTTTTTTTCGATTACTGCGTAAACCAACTACCATACTCATATAAAACGACTCTGGTCAGAATATGTGAACCCTCCTCTTGCGACTACATGAATTCTCATCCAAGAAAATGGCAATTTTGTAATATTGGAAAATTTTATAACGTTTAATTACTATTTTGCCCCTATACAGTTAATATTTTAATTTGAATACTCTGGTAACCCGGGGACCGGATATTAAATAAGATTATGTCACCAAAAAATGTTGTCTCCCAGATTTGAACTCGGGTGAACCTATTGTACACAACATCAAACAAACCACTGGGACAGATGAAATCCTTAAAACAATATAATAAAATATATATCTAATCCAATTCTGTAAAATGATTTATAATTGTTATTTAAATAATACTAAATAAATTACTAATTTTCCTATTTATTAATATTCAGTAATATATTAATAAATGTCATATATAAATTTAAAAAATATAAAGAGTCGTTGTTCGACCTCCCCAAATATCTATCATTAATTATTATATTCAATATTATTATTATTATTATTAATCTCCACTATTAAAAAATACAAATAATTGAATTAACTAAATATATGCAAATGCATGACTTAATACAAGCTCACTTATGTTATTAAAATCGATAGTGTGATAATTTTTAATAAAAAATAATATCAGATGTTTATTTATAAAGTATATATGAGGATTATAATAATATTATATGTGTTTTTCTTTTAATATGTAGTTAATCAAATAGGAAGATTTGGATTAATTATGATCAAGTCCTATCAATTCTTAAACTTTTTTCAAAAATTTTAATCGATTGACATCAATTATTGACAATAACGTATGGAAATTATTGATTATTCTATATAGGACAAATATTGACAGTAATATATTTATAAGAAAAATGTAGATGATGTTTATTTTAACAAAAATAGATCATAACTCATTCCAATTAATCTTCATAATTTAAAATAAAACTATAGATGATTAGTAGTATTAAAATATTATGTTGTTATTTTTATTTTAATACTTGGTATAATTGTATTTTAGAGGGAGAAAGTATTGACAAGAACATATTAATGGAACTAACTAATTATAATTAAAGTATAATATATTTTTAATTGAATTATATCATAAAAAGTAATACAATATAATTCGTAAAAATCGTAAGAATCAAATTGTCAATCATAAGATTTGAATCGATTAAGCTTTCTCCATTGCAACACATTTTCATAATAGTGATGTAGCCTGTAGGTGAGAATATTTCGTCCTTTTTTGTTGTAATAATAATAATAATAATAATAATAATAATAATAATAATAATAATAATAATAATAATAATAATAATAATAATAATAATAATAATAATAATAATAATAATAATAATAATAATAATAATAATAATAATAATAATAATAATTCGTCCTTTTTTTGTTGTTGTTATTATTATTATTATTATTATTATTATTATTATTATTATTATTATTATTATTATTATTATTATTATTATTATTATTATTATTATTATTATTATACTAAAAATGTAGAATTGAGTGGTTCTATTTTTTAGGAGGAAAATAGGGAGAGAAATTAGGAAGAGATTTTAGAAACAAAACAATTAAGGGCATAAATGGTTTAAATATATAAAGAAAACAAAAAAAGTGAAATAAATGCTATTTTGGCCAATCAAATTCTGGCTATTTAGCAAAGTCCTAAATAAAATATTATACGTTTACTAAAACGTATCCTATATTTATCAAGTCCTTTGGTATTTGGACTTGTAAGATTATTATTAGCTGTCATGCAATAACTACACTATTTCTCTTTCCATATAAATTAAGACTCTAAAATCATGCAAATATTTTTTTTTGTTTTTTGTGGACATTACTAACGTATTTCAAAAGGAAAATACCAAAACACTACACGTGTCATGCATGAGAACAACTGTATTGAACTATTTAATTTAAAATAGGAATTATTTGATAAACACCCCCAAAATGTCTTTTGCACTTTGTATGGACCCAAAAAATATTTCACTTTTTGAAATAAATTCAAATTATATTTAAACATTTGTTTTAATTACGAGATATATATATATTAGTATTAGCCTCGTGTATATATGGACGTATATTGTGAACTAATGAATCTTTCCATTCTGATTGCGCACGTTCTCACGTTTACAATGGGAGGGGCGATGCTACATCCGGAGATAATAATCGGGTGCCCCTCCTATTCCTATTGACATGTGACACTTAAATTAATTTTAATTAATTTTGCAATTCTAATATTCATTATTAATTTTAATTATTTATTTACTAAATTATAGTTAACATAATCCCTAAAATTAAGGTAACTTAGATTTATTTTCTATTCCACGACTCCTCTATTTTTCTTCACATGACAAAATATTGCACGTTTCCTTTTGTTTTTCCACCAGAATTCTGACTTCTTCTTCCATTATTGCAGTTGGAAGAAAATTTTATAGGTATAGTTGAACTTGTTTATCCCATTACTAATAAAAAATTCTTGTTGATGACTTACAACAAAAACGTCATTGACTACATTGTCATTGACTACATCATACATCTGAATTAGTTCTATCAAAGAGATTACTAATATTTTTTCATTGTTTCTAACTTTTATTATGTAAATATTTAGGAATGGATCATAATTTACTATCTGCGAATATAAGCTCAAAGCAATATACACCTGCACAATTTTCAGAGTCAGACAATGTAGAGGTACGTAACGAGTCATTGGTTGAAGAATTTGAACGCAAATTAAGCGTGGGTCAACAAATGAAAAGTATTGAAGATGCATATTTGTTATATTGTGAATATGGACGTATCAAAGGGTTCAGTGTTAGAAAAGGAAAACATGATTACTTTCATGATAATAGTCAATGTTGTTAGAACCGGACCGAACCGGCCGGTCGGACCGGTTCGACCGTGACCCGGCAATAAAGCGGTCCGGTCTAACATCCAAAACCGGAAAAGTAAAAAATCGGGGTCAAATGACCAAAATCCGGTTCAACCGGGTAAAACCCGAGAACCGCCGAGTCAGCCAAGGAACCCGGTTCCAAAACGTCTCGAATCACCGTTGAGTTGGTTATTTGTGGCTAGATTTGAGCGAACCTTCACATACTTAGTAGTGGATGGTCTGATCTAATCATGACTGGTCGAAGGATTGTCAGATATGATCATGGGTGATCGAATAGGGGTGACTGATTGTCGGATTTGAAGAATAAAAAATAGAAAAAGATAGAATATAAGCAATAAAATATAGTAAAAAGTGAGGTGAAGTAGATAAAAGCGAAAATAATAACTCGGAGATTAAAAATATAAACAAAATAATATTTTTAAAACATTAAAATTAATAAAATAATAGCATATTCAAAAAATCAAAAACCCGGTTGAACCGGTTCGACCTTATAAACCCATGACCCAAATGGTCGTCCGGTTCTATAGCCGGTCCGGTTCTGATAACATTGATAATAGTAAAGAACTTTACATGAAGGAATTTGAATGTTCTTGTAAAGGAACAAAGGATGAGAAACATAGTGCTAAAAATAAACAACCGATATACTTAAAGATTGAAACAAGATTTGGTTGTACAACAAGACTAAGGATTGGAAGAAAAAAAAATGAAGAATGGAGAGTGACTATTTTTGATATTCAGCATAATCATGACATGGTCTCACCCGACCAAAGTTATATGTTGAGATCGGCTCGTAGTATTTCATATGCTAAAGGAAATACACTCAAAACATTGGTTGATGCTGGATTTTCGATATCCAATGCATATTCTTACTTGCAACAAGAATCACATGGGAGAGAAAATGTCGGTTTTCTTAAAAAAGATGCATACGATTACATTAATCGTATCGCAAAAGATCACAGACAAGTTGAAGATGGTGATGCTGCTGAGTTGATTCGGCATTTTAAAAATAAATCGAACAAAGATATATTGTTCTACTGGGATTTTCAAGTTGACGAAAACAACAGGATGTGCAATTTCTTTTTCAGAGATGGTCGGAGTCGGGTCGATTATGAGGATTTTGGTGATTTTGTTTCATTTGATACCACGTATAAAACAAATAAATATAATCTGATTTGTGCACCTTTCACGGGCATTAACCATCATAAGAACAATGTGATGTTCGGATTAGCTTTTATGTCTCATGAAACAGAGTCATCTTTTCAGTGGTTATTCAACACATTTCTCGAGTCTATGGGTGGAAAGCAGCCAGAAACTATTTTCACAAACCAATGTCAAGCAATGATAAATGCTATTGAAGTTGTATTTCCGAATTCGCACACCGATTGTGTGAATGGCATATCTATCAGAATGCTCCTTCTCACTTTGGTAATTTGAATAATAATTCACATTTTAAGAATATGTTTCATAAGTGTATGGAATTTTGTGAATCTGAAGAAGAGTTTGAGAATATTTGGAGTAAAATGATTGCTGATAATAATCTTTATGACCATTCTTGGTTAAACAATATGTACAAGTTGAGAAATAAATGGTCTACTGCTTTCAGTAAACATAGATTCAGTGGAGGTCTTAAAGCTACATCAAGAAGCGAGTCCACAAACTCTAGTTTGAAATTCGATGGTAAGAGGACCGATACTTTGTTCGACTGTGTTCTGAGGTTTGAAAAGATTCAAAATGAATGGCGCCAAGATGAAAAGGAAAATGATTTTAAATGTCGTCATGGGATGCCTACGCTTGCTGTAAAAACTAATTGTTTGTTGAGAGATGCTTCTTCGATTTATACTCACACGGTGCATTATATGTTCCAATCATAATTGATCAACTCGTTGGGCATTTATTTTGATGGAGAGACTTCAAATAATGACACTTTATTCATGTTTAAAGTAAAATCTCAAGGAAATTAAAATCGAGTTCGAAAAGTTGAATTTGATTCGAGTTCACATGAAATAAAATGCACGTGTCAATTATTTGAGTCTGTTGGTATATTATGCAAACATTCATTGTTAGTTTTTAAACAAATGAATGTGAATAAAATACCTACGAGGTATATAAAAGTGAGATGGACAAAAAGTGTGAGGGACAGAGTTCGCTTCAATGAAGAAAGTTCTTGTGTAGACTATAATGAATCTCAGGCAGTTTATGTGAACCATGCTATGAGGTTTTGTTATGATCTTACAATGCGAAGTAAAGCCCATCCCGAAACTAGAAATTTGGTGAGAAGTGGGCTGGAGGGAATTTTTTCAAATCTAAATGTTTTACCTGATAAGTTGGGTTTAGATCATGCAATTAAAAAAAAGTAATGATATGGCGCCAGGTGATTCCAAGATTAGAAGTTTAGATGCTGCGGAAGAACCTAATGTTATAAATGATGAGTTGGTGCTTAATCCTCTTTATGTGAAGTCAAGAGGAGTCAATAATGCTCGATTGTCAAGCCATTGGGATACAAAGAGTAAAAAAAGAAAACGAAATATTGACTCTACAAGTAAGTTTTTTGAATAAATCTTCACAATAATTTTTACTTTGGTTTTATGAGGTTCCGTAAATTTTTTTGTTTGTTTGAATTTGCTAGAGAGGGTAACAAAAAGTGCAAACAAAAGAGCGCAGTCGTCACAAGTGTCTATAAATGTACAACCAACAGAAGAAGCTTCTAGTGTTATTCCTTCACAAGGATCTATTTGTGTGCCATCCTCACAATATTCTACTGTTTATCATTCTCAAGATATCTCATTTGGCTCACAGCCTAGTGAACATCAAGCTAATTGGTTTCCCAAATCTATCATATCCGACAATGCAAATGGTGAGTTTTTATTTACATCAATTTACATGAATATATTTTGCATCTTATATATACTTTATGCATTATATTGGATTATTTAGGGACATGGTGCAATGATTAATTTTGGTCAGCCTTCTTCAAGTATGTTCCAATATCAGGATCTTTTGTTGTTACATGTATGCATTGTGTAGTTTTGCTAGGTTCTGAAATTTCAATATAATTATTTTGGATGAAAATGTATTTATGTAATTATTTTGTGTATGTTATACTTATTAGTTATGTTTGATTTCAAGGAATCAACAAATAATATGAAGGGTAGCAGCAAAGAGAGACCCCCTAACTTTCAGTAGGAATTGTATAGCTGTGTGGCGTCCGAATTGCAATTATTTATGTCCTCTGTTTTTTTGGAAGCTTTGTGTTAGTTTCATTTTATTTTGAAGCTTTGTGTTAGTTTATGTCCTCTGTTTTTTTTGGCAGCTTTGTGTTAGTTGTTTTATTTTTATTTTATTTTGTGTTTGAGATGAAATTGTGAAGACTACAGAACAACTATTTGTTTTTGTCTTAAATAAAATTGTATGAGTTTGAAACATTTGTGAACTTTGGTTTCTTTCTTTCCTCAAAAATAAAAAATAATTGAAAAATCTCATATTAACTAAAATTGCATTTTCCACTTCACTAGATGAACTTTCACAATTTCATTTAGTACAGAAGTGCTCCACAATCCATGAACCACCAAAGGAGCAATTGTTACCAATCATTTCTAGAAATCTTGTTGCTTCGAGAAGGTCTGAAGTATGTTCAACTTTGAGTAATTTATGTATCAAGGTATGCAATGACTACCATATGCAATATCAAATCAAATATTAGCCCTTCTCTAGTTTTTTTTGTCAAGAAACACAAATAACTTCATGATAGCCTGTCAAGTACAAACTCGAAGAAGGAATTGGAATGAAAAACTTAGGTACAAAGATAATAAGATTTGCAAATGATAGAGTAAATGCTCTGAATCTATACAATATAATACTAAATAAATTCTCACAAATTTTAAACATGATCATATACAAACATAAGTTTGACCATTTAGCTATCTCAACTTCAAACAACAACTACAATCCCAACAATTTGGGCTTAACATCGGTACAGAAAAAAATACGGTTGCCTCACGAAAAAGTTGATGGCTTCTACTCTTATGTCCCTCATTTCGCTCTTCGATTCCAGGAAGCAGAGATCCAAATTAATCTTGGCGGCAGATTATTTCAATAAATTTGGGGGAATTCAGAAAATTAGAGACCCAAATTAATCCAACCTTCAAGTGAAATAAATGCTAATATATCTCGAATAATCTTCTAAATATTGAGATTTTGTACGAAAAAAAGTGTAAGAAAAACTATTCTTGTTCAAGAGAGAAAGAAGTAGAGAAAAAATGGTGAAAGAAAATGGAGATGCGTCTTGAGATAGAGAGAGGGGGAGAGAGAGAAAATAAATCTAAGTTACCTTAATTTTAGGGATTCTGTTAACTATAATTTCGTAAATAAATAATTAAGATTAATAATGAATATTAGAATTGCAAAATTAATTAAAATTAATTTAAGTGCCACATGTCAATAGGAGGGGCACCTGGTTATTATCTTCGGGTGTAGCATCGCCCCTCCCCGTTTACAATAGTATCGTCCAATAAATTTCGTCCATTCATTGTAGGTGCACCGTTTCATTGTGAGGGATTTCTCAAATTTCATAAAATTTTCTGAAATATTTCACAGATTGCACAAAGTGTTTTTGAAATTCTTAGTATGCATACGGTGAATATATGTGGACATCGATTGAAGACAGAGTGGTTTTCAAATATTTTCGTCATCTAGATTCGGTGAATATCGACATAGGTTGTACGAAGTGGTTTTCAAATATTCCATCTGCCTTTAGTAGTGACCACCCCCAAAACACTATTCCATGAACATTCAATACTAGTTCTCTCTTAGGTATTCATATGTTTCAAGCTAATACATATAATAGTTTCATAATATACTCAGTTTCACCATATTATTGTTTGTGTATTACTGTTGTACAATTTGACTTGGATAATTTTATATGTAATTGGTGTTTGAATTTATTCTTTCTTGTGCGTATACATGTGTACATCAATATATGGTTTTCATTATTAGAACGAATATAGGTCATACTGTTGTACGTTTACCAAATCATTTTTTTGTATGTTAATAGTGTACACTATGAGTTGATAATATTTTGTATGTTAATACTTAAATAGTGTTACTGTTGGACTGTTGTACATTTCCTAAACCATTATGTGTTAATAGTTTATGTTTTTTTTATTATTTTTAGATGGAGTCGGTTGCTACAATTTTGTTCAGATTTAGAGGAACGCTTGCAATTTAGAGGAACGGTTGAAATCAAGAGATGGCCGGCTGGTATTAATTACGCATTGTTCATAAAGATTGTTTGGTCAAAATGGATTGTGATCAATGATCGTAACCTTACGCTTAAATATAAGATTGACGTGTTTGATGAATGTATTCTTGCCGATGATAAAGATGTAATATCCACATTTCTCTTGATGAAAGACTTAAAAAAATAGGACGTGTTGAGGTAATGGTGAATGAAGCAGAAGGTGAAGTTGTCACGGTGGATAGTTGCAATGCATTGCAACCAGTGCAACTGTTGTTATCGTTGTTTTAATACGATAGAAATGTGGTTGTTGCTGAGCAACATAATGTAATTCACCCACTCTGTGGTAAGAGGTTGCTCAGTGCTGAATGGGCTAACTTGATTAAAGATGTTGGCGAAGCGTTTGTAGGTGGAGCCGACAAATTCTAGAAGTCGTTTGTCAAGTTTTCCATTGAAATTGACTTTGAATATGTTTACGTCAAGAATGAGTCTTACATGGTCACAGTTGAGTGTCGATTCAGGCGTGATAAGCAATCCGATCCCCCTGCAGGATCCATGCGTCGATCGATAAATCTAACAATAATTTCGATATTCGAAAGTATTACAAACACCATGCATGTGGTATGTTCTTTGGAACGACGAGCAAGAAGCGATTAACTTATGTAATTATTGAACTAATTGATGGTTATATTCTGGCAATGCAGGCAATTAATCCACACAATATACAAGTACAAATAAAAGACAGCTATGGTACTGATATGAGGTGTCGTGGAGGGCAGCTGATGGTGGAAGGAACTAGATATTTGGTGATCCAGTACGTCGTATTCGTATCTTCTAGCTTATTTTCAAGAAGCCGAGCGAACAAATTCAGGAAGTATATTCCATTTGGAGGTTGATGACGCGGGGAACATTTTTCATTGTTGGTTTTTTGCATCTGGTGCTTGTTTGGTAGGTTTAAGCTTTGCTGCCAGTAGTGATAATTGGCGGCATGTTTTTGAATGGGAAACATGGAGGAATTCTATTAAACGTTGTGGGAAAGGACGGCGATGAAGGTTTTTATTTCAATTTATTTTAGTAGTTGTAATGGTTTTTCAGATATATTAGCAAGTTTCACATTTCTCAACTCAAAATTATTTCCAATTTTTTTCAGTTATATATTCAATTGTATTTGTTGTTGTTTCAAGCGAAGCAGAAGCTTGCACCTGACATTTACGAACTACTATGGCCCCTATTATATGTGCCATTTCGTGCAATAATGATGCTTTATTTTGAAATTTAACTAACTTATGTTGGCGCCAGATTTCGGTTAGTGAAGATTGAGGAAATCCGCCATACTTTGAAATTAACAGATTGGCAAAGATTTATTTCTATGTTTATTTTGGAATTAATTAGAGTCCTATTCTTGTAATATTTTATTAGGACTTAGATTTATTTTCATGTATTATATTCTAGTTAGGTATCTTTTGTTCTTATCTAGAATAGAAGTAGAATCGACTAGAATTCCATTACCTAGTTAAATGGATTTCTTAGAACTCAAATTAAGTTTAGGATGGTGAATTTCGTGCCTATATAAGGCCCCCAACCTCATATGCGTCTCATGGAGCTTTAACCGAAAAAATTTCCAGTAAAAAGACTTTG